TGAAAAAGAGTGAAGCAAGTCTATGAACATATGGGACACAATTACAATAAACAATATCCACAGTATGAGACTCCAGGAAGGAAAAGAGAAAGAAAATGGGACAGAAAGTATATTTAAAGCAATAATGGTCAAAACATCCCAAGCCTGGGGAGAGAAGTGGGCATCCAGATATGAGGCCTAAAAGACTAAAAATTGTTTGAAACCAAATAGGGCTACACTGAGACACATTATAATTAAATAGTCAAAAGTCAAATAGAAACAAAGAATTTTGCAAGCAGCAAGAAAAAAAGAGACAAGTTACATACAATGACCGCCCCCCACCCCAATAAGACTATAAGTGAATTTCTCAGCAGAAACTATGCAAGCCAGGAGAGAATGGGATGATATATTCAAAATATTAAAATAGGAAAACAGTCAAGATTTCTATACCTGGTAACGCTGCCATTCAGAATGGAAGGATAGATGAAGACTTAACCAAACAAACAAAAGCTAAGGCAGTTCATCACCACTAGACCTGCCTTACAAGAAATGTTAAAGTGAGTTCTTTGAGTAGAAGTAAAAGGATGCGAATTAATATCATAAAAGCATATAAAAGTAGCGTAAAACATATTGCTAATGGTAAATATATAGCCAAAGTCAGATTTTGTAAAATGGAACTGGTGGTGCATAATTCATTTTCTACTATAGTCTAAAAGTTAAAAAACAAATGTATTAAAAATAACCATAACTCCAGTAATCAGTTATTGGATACAACATATAAAATTATATAAATTGTAACATCAGTAACCTAAAAAATGAGGGAGATGAGATGTAAAAGTGTAAAGCTTAAAAATGCTATCAACGTTAAGTTGTTATCAGTGTAAAATAGAGTGTTATAATTTTAACATATATTATGTAAGCCTCGTGGAAGCCACAAGGAAAAAACCTGTAGTAACTATACAAAAGAACATGAGAAAAAAGCAAAAGCATATTGCTATCAAAAGATATCAAATCACGAAAAAAGACAGCAGGATAAGAAACAAGGAATTATGGATCCACAAAACAAAACAACAACATGGAAATAGTAAGTCCTTACCTATCAGTAATTACTTTAAATGTAAATTAATTATATTCTGTAATCAAAAGACCTAAACTGGCTGAATTGATAAAAAAACAAGATCCAACAATATGCTGGCTACAAGGGACTCACTTTAGTTTTAAACACACACATAGACTGAAAGTGAATGAATGGAAAAAGATACTTAAAGCAAATGGTAACCAAAACCAAACAAACAAACTAGGGGTAGTTATGTCAGACAAATAGACTTTAAACTAAAAGTGGTAAAAAGAGACAAAGTCATTACATAATGATAAAGGGATCAATCCAGCAAGAAGATATAACAACTGGAAATATTTTTGCACCCAAAATTAGAGGATCGAAATACTTAAAACAAAAACAAACAGAAATAAAGGGAGATATAAACAGCACTATAATAATAATTGGGGACTTTAATACCCTACATTCAACAATGGATAGATCCTGCAGACAGAGAATCAATAAGGAAACAGTGAATTTGAACATTATAGACCTAATGGATCTAACAGGCATATACAGAATATTTGACCCACCAACAGTAGAATACACATTCTTCTCAAGCACACGTGGAACATTTTCTAGTACAGACCACATGTTAGGTCACAAAACAAGTCTTAGCAAATTCAAGAAGATTGACATCATATCAAGTATCTTCTCTGACTGGCTTGAAGCTAGAAATCAATAACAAGAGCAAAACTGGAAAACTCACAAGAACATGGAAAGCAAGCAATCTTCTTCTGAAGAATGAATGAATCAAAGGACAAATTAAAGGGAAAATTTAAAAAAATATGTTGAGACAAATGAAAATGGAAATATAACATATCAAAACTTATGGGATGCAGCAAAACTATTTCTAACAAGGAAGTTTATAGCAATAAATGCCTACATTAAGAAACAAGAAAAATGTCAAACACCCTAACTCTATAACTCTAGGATCTAGACATAGAAAAAACTGAGCCCAAAGTTAGCAAAAAGGAGGGAAATAATAAAGATTAGAGTAGAAATAAATGAAATAGAGAAAAGGAAAACAATAGAAAAGATTGAAAAATCTAAGGGATGGTTCTTCGAAAAGAAAAAATAATTGACAAACTCTTAGCTAGACTAACAAAGAAAAAAAGACAGAGGGCCCAAATGAACAAATTATAGATAAAAGAGAAGACATTACAACTGATACCACAGAAACACAAAGGATCATAAGAGGCTACTATGAACAACTCTATGGCAACAAACTGAACAACCTAAAAGAAATGGAAAAATTCTTAGAAGCATACAACCTACCAAAACTGAAAAAAGAGAAATAGAAAATAGGAACAGAGAAGTTACTAGTAAGAAGATAGAGTCAATAATCAAAAATATCCCAACAAAGAAAAGCCCAGGACTGAATAGCTTCATTGATGAATTTCACCAAACATTTAATGAAGAGTTAACGCCAATCCTTCTCACAATATCAACATACAAAAATCAGTAGCGTTTTTATACACTAACAACAAATTATCTGAAAAGTAAATAAAGAAAACAATCCCATTTACAATAGCATCAATAAGAATAAAACACTTGGATATAAATTTATGAGGTGAAAGATCTCTGCACTGTTAACAACAAAACAATGGTGAAAGAAATCAAAGAAGACACAAATAAATGGAAAGGTATCCTGACTTCAGGAACTGGAAGAATTAATATTCTTAAAATGTCTATAATACCCAAAGCCATCTATAGATTCAATGCAATTCCCATTAAGGTTCCAATAGCATTTTTTCAGAAGTAAAAGAAATCATCTTAAAATTCGTATGGAGCCACAAGACCCCAAATAGCCAAAGCAATCCTGAGGTAGAAGAACAAAGAGAGAAGCATCATGCTTCCTTATCTTCATCTATATTTTAAAACTATAGTAATCAAAACAGTATGGGCCTGGCATTAAACAGACACCTACACCAATAGAACAGAATCAAGAGCCCAGAAATAAACCCATGCATGTATGGTCAATTAATATTTGTCAAGGGAGCCAAGTAATACTCAATAGAGAAAATACAATCACAATAAATGGTGCTGAGAAAGTCGGATACTCAAATGTAAAAGAATGAAACTAAACCCCTCTTTAACATCACTTGTAAAAATCAAACTGAAATGGATTAAAGACTTAAGTTTAACATCTGAAACCAGAAAACTCCTAGAAGAAAACCTATACAAAAAGCTCCTGGACGTGAGTCTTGGCAATGATTTTTGGGTATGATGCCTAAAGCACAAGCAACAAAATAAAAAATAAACACATGGGACTACATCAAACTAAAAATCTTCTGCACAGCAAAAGAAATAATCAACAAAATGAAAAGGCAACCTATGGAATAGAAAAAAAGATTTGAAAATCATATCCAATATGTATAAAGAACTCATATAACTCAATAGCAAAATAGCCAATTAATCCAATTAAAAAATGGGAAAAAGACCTGAATAGACCTTTTTCTAAAGAAGATATACAAAAGGTCAATATGTACATGAAAAGTTGCTCAACATCTCTAATCATTAGGGAAATCTAAATCAAAACCACAATGAGATATCATCTCATGCCTATTAGAATGGCTATAATCATGAATACAAGAGATAACAAATGCCCACAAGAATGTGGAAAAAAAGAGAACACTTGTACATTCTTAGTGAGATAGTAAATTGGTGCAGCCACTAAGGAAAACAGTATGAAAGTTCCTCAAAACATTACAAGTAGAACTACCATATGATCCAGTGATTCCACTTGTGGCTATATATCCAAATGAAACAAAATGACTATGTCAAAGAGATATGTGCACCACCATGTTCCTTGCAGTATTATTTACAATAGCCAAGACATAAAAACAACCTGAGTGTCCAGCAACAGATGTGTGGATAAAGAAAATGTGGTATGCATACACAATGGAATACTATTCAGCCATAAAAATGAAGGAAATCCTGCCATTTGTGCCAACATAGATGGATCTTAAAGGTATTATGCTAAGTGAAATATGTCAGATAGAGAAAGACAAATATTGTATGACCTCACTTATATGTAGAATCTGAAAAACAAAACAAACAAAAAGCCTCATCAAACTCATAGAAAAATATATCAGATATTTGGTTACCAGCAGCAAGGGGTGGGGGGTGGAAGAATTCGATGAAGATGATCAAAAAAATACAAACTTTTGGGGCTGGCCCAGTGGTGCAGCAGTTAAGTTCACATGCTCTGCTTGGGCGGCCCAGCGTCCGCTGGTTCGCATCCTGGGTACGGACCTATGCACTGCTTATCAAGCCATGCTGTGGCAGGCATCCCACATATAAAGTAGAGGAAGATGGGCACAGATGTTAGCTCAGGGCCAATCTTCCTCAGCAAAGAGAGGAGGATTGGTGGCAGATGTTAGCTCAGGGCTAATCTTCCTCAAAAAAAAAAATTGTAAAATCCTTTCAAAAATACAAACTTTCACTTACAAGTAAATAAGTACTGTGGATATAATGCACAATGTGATGACTATACCTTAACACTGTTATATGGTATGTTTGAAAGTTACTAAGAGAGTAAATCCTAAGAATTACCATCTCAAGAAAAAAAAGCATTTTTTATTCTTTTTTTGGATCTCTATATGAGATGATTGATGTTAACTAAACTTATTGTGGTAATCATTTCACAATACATGTAAGTCAGGTCATTATGCTGTACAGATTAAACTTATATTGTGCTGTATGTCAATTACATCTCAATAAAACTGAAAGGAAAAAAAGATGCTTTTTATGCAATGGAGGCAGGGTCGGAGGCCCCTCTGCCATGTTTCATGGCACTTGATCTTGAGGATGGCACCTGAGAATAGAGAACCCTTCAGAATTTTCTGTGGGCACTAGGTGTAAGAATACTCATCTCCTAGATCTAGATAAGGCTAATGTGTGATTGTTTCTACTACCACAGTGACAGCCCTGACAATTTGCCCATGAGGACAAATGTTTTCTGGTCCAGTGGTACTTCCTCGGTAAGTCTGATTTCTCGATGGGCCTGAGCCATCCAACCCTGTTACCCAGAAAATAACTGGCCTAAACTAATCACAAAACCAAGCTGAGCAGAGGTAGGCAGAGTTATCCATTCTATCCTTTCTCCTTTCACTTCCTTATCATCCCCTTATTCTCTTTTATTTGTTTATTTTGTAAATACATTTTTTTCTCTTCTACTCTCCTCTTTTCCTTTAAGTTTATCAAGCATATATTTTTCGTAAGTTTATGTACCCTGTTTTCCCAGCACAGATTCCTTTATCACATTCCTCAGCAAAGCATCAGTGATAATTTATACCTCCTTCAACACAAGGGGCAGGCAGTCTTAACCTCGTGGATGGGGTCAGCTCACCAACTTTCTATGCCAGAATGCCAGATCCCAAGCCTCACTAAGGCAATGGATATGTTCAGTAACACTCTATTCACCTTTTCTCTTATAGATAAATCCATTCCAGTGGAAGAAAGAGAATTTCATAGAATCTTGATGTCAATATGAACACTTCCTTTAGCCCTCCAAAGGAGGAAAATAAAAAGGAAGTGTGTTATTTAGCAACTTGGTCAATGTGAAGTTTAGAAATAACTTTTAGGTTTTTCAAAAGAGAAATGCAGATAAAATAAACATTCAAACAGAAATTTTTTTCTCGGTAGAGATCATAAAATATAAAACTCTGTTTCTAATAGAGGAAGTGAAAATTGGTGTCTGAAACACCAGGGCTGTTTTAAAGCAACCAATACCTCTCACTATTTATGGCCTACAAAAGCCCAGTCCACTCTGGTATCTGGGATAAAGGGGCAAAGTTGTTTAGTTAAAGAGGATGTTCTGAAGGAACAGACTTCTTCCCTCATAGTTTTCTGAAGAAAGTTAAAACAGAAGCCCCCAGCATGAAAGCAGAGTCCAGCTCATAAATTTCTTTTAGTCAGTGCTGACCCTGAAACACCCTACCCTAAGATCCCTTTCTCTGGCCTACCTCAGCCCTCGGATAGCAGTTTCGTGACCTCCTTCTGACCTGTCTCACCTTCATGTTATCTTTGGACTAGCCACTTGGTTTTGACCCTGCTTGAGAACTGATTCCACCCACTGCCTAGGCCAGCACCTGACCTTCATTAGGCAGCCAGTTCTGTCTAGAGATTCTCCTGAGGAACTCCCCTAAACTGGCTTGTGCTTTATTTATACTTTGGAAATCACCCAAAGACTTAGCTCTATGAGATGATCTTCTTAGAGTTCAGTATGCAAAAAGCCCGCGAACTGCTCCTTTATTTTTCAGTGAAATGCTTCTCCATTTCCCAGCCTCTGATTTATAGTGACACAACACTGCTAGATCTTTAGCCTCTATCGTCGTTCTCAGCTTGGCCTCTGAGACTCGTAGCCCAGTTTATAACCAGTGCCGTAAAGAGAGAAAGAAGCAGAATGATACTAGACCAAATGGAAAGACGCAGTGACTCTGGAACCCTGTTGTTTACTCAAGCTGAGTCTCCACAACCTGCTTGGAGTTGGTAGGGCTTTTTTCTGTGATGGGAAGATCCAGAGAAAATAGGAGAAATGATTGTCCCATTCAGTCCAGGCTTCAAACCCCATAAGCTACTATGAATACAAGCATCGTCACCAAGGCTCAGCAGAGGTCATGTGAAGGTATAGAATCTAGTGTGAGAACTAGGAAATACTTAGCTAAACTCTATGCAGGATTTTCTCTTTCCAGGACCCTTTTCTAATGCTGATGCAACACTAAAGTCCTCTGGTTTCTTTTCCTGCAAGTCTCCTGCACAAATACTTTTCCAATTCTCTCTCAGTCAAACAACAAGAGTTCTCGTGCATATTAATTTATTCATATACACCCTAGGGGTGTGTGTGGTGGGGAGGGGCTGTTCCTGTTAGTTCTACAAACACATAAACTCTAGATTTCTCTTTCGGCTCCACATGATCCATGCCTTTAAGGAGTCTGTGGTCTAAGGAGCAACACAAGTATGAACTATAATACAAAGCATACTTGGATAAACCCACAATGCATGTATTAACTACATTCTTCAGGATTTATTGACTCTTCTGAAAGACTTAGGAAAGCTTCACAGAGCGGGTAGCCTTTGTTCTGGCTTTTTAAATATGAGGTGTAGATAAGCTCAGAGTGGACAAAATGGAAAATAGACAGGGAGAAGAGCCTTCAAAATTGAGGAAACAAGCATAACCCAAAGATTGAAAATGGCAGTCTCCAAATGTCTTTTCTATACCACATCTATTAAGTTTCAGGAAATTTGTATTTACTGACTTGTAAAATGCAGTTCTGTGGTTCAGACTGCCTGTTTTTGGTCTGAATTAAATGTTGAATTCTTACTACACATCCTTTGAACAAAGGTCCAGAAGCATGCTTGGCAACTGAGTTCCTCTGTGGCTGAGGGAAAGATAGACTAAGATGAAATTGGAAAGTTAAGACAGGGCCAGAATATGGAGAAAACTGAAGATCAACTTAAAGAATTTGGGTCTGAGTTAGCAGCAAATAAGGAGCCACTAAAGGGTTTTTAAGCAGAGGAGTAACTTGATTAAACTTGCATTTTAAGAATATGACTTTGGTAGCACTGGAGAGGAGACAAATATTTTGGAGGCTATTGCAATATGAAGAAAAGATGAGGGGTTTAAAATACATTGTAACAGTGAAAATAGAGGAAGAGATGAATCTGAGAGACATTTTGAAGATAAAGTCAACAATACTTGGAAGTTGATTTAGTATGGTGAATAAAGAAGCGGAAGCATTAAAGATAATTTGAAGGTTTCTGATATATATGGCTGGATGCTGCTGCTGCTGATCTACTGAACATCTACCATGCACCAAGTATATCCATTGTTTCATTTAATTTTCACAATCTTTAAAGTAGATATTTATTTTTTTTCTCCACTTTGCATATGAAGGAACAGATACAAAGAGGTTAAGTGATTTGCCCAGTTGAACAGTCAGTACAAAGGGCTTATTTGTGCTCTGTATTAATGATTTTTCAGTAATATATTTCTTTTGCAAAAGCAATATCTATTAATACCCTGATAAAGTTATGAGTTTGAAGAGAAAATAGAAATAAAAATCTATGCACAATTTCTTTTAGGAGCAATTTGTCTCATATATTTCAAAGCTGATGAAAATGCATTCTCTCGTCCCACCTGGATGACTGCCTAAAGCTGTTCCTTGAATGTTGGAAGGCCCACCTCTGAACCAAAGGTGATTTTTCTTTAGAGATCTATGGCCTAATTTTGATCGAAGATTAGGGCAGCTTCTCGGAAAAAACCGGGGCTACAAGAAACGTAGAGCACCCTGGGAAAAGATAGACTTCCTTATTCTGAGGGAGAAGGAGTCTCCTCAGGCAGAACCAATTCAGAAAGAAATGCACAAAAGCCCTCTGGCCTGAATCAAGGGGAAGGAAGAGGCAGTTTGAATTTATCTGCAGTAAATGTGCAAGTTGATCACTCAAAATAAAAAATTTCTTTTGAGCTTATGGTTTCTATGAAATGTGTTTTTTATGTTTTTCTATCCTTACACAGTTATACCCACAACCCAAGGCTGCTAGATCAAAAACAAAGGTGGGGGGAGGATATCCATTTTTTTCCTAAGATTATTTTTCTGAAGTGATGATGAATGAAAGCATTAATTGGGCCTTGCATTGGAAATCCATCAACTTTATGTTAGGTTCTGACCCCATAAATTGAAATCAATTTATTCATTCATTCAACAACTATTTATCAAGTGTCTATTACGTATCAGGCTAGGTACTAAGGATATCAAAGCTGATACCATTCCCGCTTTTATGCAACTGTACATTCCAGTAAGGAACACAGAGCAGTGAACACGTATTTGCAAAATAGTAGCCTAAGTGCTGTGCCAGGGAGGATCCAAGCTGCCAGAGGGGCATAGAGATACACATAACCCCACCTAAGAACTGGAAAAAAAGGTCTCTGTTATAGCTGGAAATGCAAAAATGAGGTGGAAATTCATAAGAAATAAAACTGAACAGGTAAAATGGGTCTAAGTCATGCATAACATTACAAGCCATGTTAGGAAATATGAATTTATCTTAAAAGCAACTGGGAACCATTGAAAGGTTAGAAGCAGCGGCGAAAGTAAAAGGATCAGATTTTCGTGTTGGAGTCTCTCTGAAGAGACAGTGTTGCTGAAGGCAGTTAGGATTGCTGCAATATGGCTGACCTGAAGTAGAGTGCTGTTAGTAAGGATTGAGAAAAATGGATGAATTTAAGAGAGTTTTTGGAGATATAATTACCAAAAATTGATGATTGATTAGGTATTAGGGATAAAAGAGAGAGAGGAATCAAGTTTCTGGCTTGAGCAACCATATATAATGGGAGCACCATTCAGGTCTCTGGCTTAGGAAACCATATGCATGGTAGCACCATTAATCACAGTGAGAAAAGAGGGTTTGAGGAGAAGATGATAAGTTCAACTTTGGACGTATTGAATTTGAGTATGTGTGAAACATTCAAGTAAAGTTGTTCAGCAGCCACTTGTGGAATATGAATTTGAAGTTCAGAAAAGAGCTCTTGCCTGGAGATATAAATTTGGAATCCTCAGTCTATAATGAATCTTTTAGGTGATAAAATATATATGTAGTGTTCTCAGCATCTCTGACCTTCTGTGTATATTTGATTCTATTTCAGAGACTCTCTAAACCAATCTACACAGTCAGAGTGCAATGCGGAAGATAGGGAGAGAAGCGACCCAGGTCTTTAATGAATTCACATAAACAAATTACGACTCCCAGGTATCTGTTTCTTCATAAATAAAACAGGACAAAATAAAATAAAAAGGGCAGCTATTTCAAATTGCTCTTCCCACATGATCAAGCAGTTTCTAGGTTCATATATATTAATAGATGTAAAGGGTTTCAAATGGTTGCTGGTGTTATGTCAGTAGTTTCGTCGAATTTGGGTTCCATTAGTTTACTTGCTGCCATAATTTAAGGCGGCAGCAGTTGTCCCAGAATTGTTTTGCAACAGTGAAGGACTGTCTTATTAAGTATCTTCTCATTCTTGTACTCATGAACACTGGAGTAAGCATTTTCTAAAAGTGGAATTGTTGGGTCAATGGATATATGCATTAAAAATGTTTCTAGATGTTGCCAAATTGCCCGTCAAAACATTGTCTGAATATAGCTGATTTTCCAGATCCTCACCAACACTGAGTGTTATCAATATAATCTTTTGTGATCTGGTATTTTGCCTATATATTAAAATTTCCATTAAATTTACCAACTTTTCTGGGAATGAGGGTAGAACTTTGTTGAAGACTTTGAAAGACAGCAGGCAGTGATAATCTTTTGTTAAGAATGTGACCGTAGAAGTGACATCACCATGATGGTGACATAGATTTTTTCTGACTTCACTCTCCCTCACAAGAAGAAGAACTAAGAACTATTTATGAACAAGACACCACTGAGAGAATCCTAGAACATGGGAGTGAGGCTTAAGCACCAACAGGCACCTCAGGGACCAAGACAGACTGCTTTAGAAGGGTAACAGGAGCGGCTACATGTTGACCACATTGCCCCTCCCCTGGACCAGTGTAGCACCACATGGAGAGGTCTCCTTGAGCTTTCAGTTCCTCCAGTGGAAAAAGAGAACCTGGGGGGGGGGACAAGCAGGTCCCCAGCATTGTGGGTTACTTTGCAGGAGCCCCTGCTCTGATTTTACACCACAGGGATTGCAGGGGGAATCTGCCTGGCTCAACCACTGGGAATCTGACTGTGACGGAGAAGGGGGAAGGGACTTGTAACAACCAGCACACAGATCTTGGTGGACCAAGTTCATACCTGGAATGCCCAAGTACTAATCCCAACCAGAGGGTTTGCTTATATGAAGAACCAAATTAGGGGTGCACTTCGACCAAGGAAATTGGTAGGGTGCAAATCTACCTGATTCAGATCCTCAAATGAGGAGTTCTACTGGTTTTAGAGCCTGGTTTGTCTATATTCAGTCAGGGAGCTGAATCAATAGCCCCACATGCTATGGAGAGTCCTCTGACCCCATCTGACCACAAAAGGATGGTGACAACTCCTGGAAGCAGTGTAGCCCAGTGATGCTCAAGCTGAAAGGCAAGCAGACAGAGCTGATGGCCCCCAGAGGAAAGACAGTACTCAGCAGGGAGTATTCCCGTGTTACATACAGGTAGGGAGATTAATTTATAACTAAGGCTGAGGGTAGCTCCCAGCCCCTCCCAACTGGAAAGCCTATTTGGGAAATTGAGAGTGGCTTGGAGTGGCCCCTCTCCCTCCTTCCCAGGCAAGGGAGCTGAGACATAGCCCCCCGGCCCCCCTTGAAGAATGTCTTCCAGCCCCATCTGACCAGGAGGGCTTGAGATGACTCCTGGAAGTTGTGCAGCACAGTGGCACTCAAGCTGAGAAATTGGTGGTCATATCTGATAGTTTGCAGAGCAAAGCCAGTGGCCCTGTTTGGTCATGGAATTTGGGCAGAGGGTCATCTCGAGTTAGGAAACCAAAGAGCATTACTAGTTTTAGAGCTGCTTCTCCTCCTGCACTCAGGCAGGGAATCTAATTTGTAGCCCTGCTCATCACTGAATATAGTCTTACCTCTCTCTGACCAGGGAACCTAACCAGAGCACACAGGAAGCTGCATAGCCCATTCAACAGCCCTACATAGTGGCTTTGGAACAGAGAGCACAGCCCGTGGTTTTCCCTGTCTGCAAAGCAAAAGTGGTGGCTTGGCCTGATCAGGGAATTCAGTGAACACTCTGGCCTCATTTGAATCCCCAAGCAATGAGCTGTACAAGCCCTGGGTCTTGTCCTGCTGCCCTGACAGGGTAGGAAAGCTAATTCATAGCCCCATCTACTACTTAATATAGTACCCAGTACCAAACATCTAGTAAGCCCAACTAGAGAATCCAGGCAACTGTGGAGCCCATCCTACAGACTTCCTTAGCTAGGCAACCATGCCAGCAATTCTACCCAATTGTTCTCAGTCAGTGGCACACCCCTCCTGCCCTGTCCTCAGAGCTCAGATAGTTACCTCACCCTAAAATAGACCATAATAGCACGCCGTACCTGCTCAAGGACATTACCAGCAGACACACTCCAAAACCCAAACTGAGCCGACTGGCAAATAACTGTCTCTGCCAAAGAAAACCTATAAAATCTGGAAGAGGTGCCTGATTACTCAAATGTGCAGATACCAGTGTAAGGAATCAAGGATCACAAAAAATTAGGTAAATACGACACCACCAAAGGAAACTAATAAAGCTCTAATAACTGACTCTGAAGAAATGCAGATCTACGAACTGTCAGAGAATTCAGAATAATCCTCTTAAGGAAGTTTCATGAACTGCAAGAAAACATAGACAGACAACTAAACATAATTAGGGAAACAATGCCTGAAAAAAAACAAGAAGTCTAACAAGGAAATAACAAACATTAAAAACAAACAAATAGACAGAAATCGTAGAGTTAAAATACAATAACTAAACTGAAGAATGCAATGGACAGTTTCAAAAGTATGCTCAACTATGCAGAAGAATCAGCAATCTGGATGATAGAACATTGGAAATTACCCAGTCAGAGGAGCAAAAAGGAAAAAGAATGAAAATGAACAAAGTAAGCCTACAGGGGCTATGGGACACAATGAAAGAAACAATACTCACATTATGGAAGCTTAAGAAGGAGGAGAAAGAGAAAGAGACAGAAAGTATATTTCAAACAATAATTGCTGAAAACTTCCCAAACCTGGGGAGAGAAATAGGCATCAAGATCAATGAAGCCCAAAGGACTCCAAATAGATTGAACTTGAATAGGGCTATACTGAGACACATTATAATTACCATCAAAAGTCAAAGACAAAGAAAGAATTTTAAGAAGAGCAAGAGAAAAGAGAAGGGAACCCCATGAGATTATTGGTGGATTTCTCAACAGAAACTTTTCAGGCTAGGAAAGAATGAGACGACATATTCAAAATATTAAAAGAAAATAACTGTCAACAAGAATTTTATACACAATGAAGCAGTCCTTTAAAATGAAGGAGGAATAAAGACTTTCCTGAACAAACAAAAACTAAGGGAGTCTATTACCACCAGACCCACCTTATAAGAAATGCTAAAGGGAGTTTTTGGAATAGAAGTAAAAGAATGCCAATTAAAATAATAAAAGCATATAAAGGTAGTGTAAATCTCACTGGTAATGGTAAATATGTAGTCACAGTTAGATTCTGCAATACGATAATGGTGGTACATAATTCACCTACAACTCTAGTTTAAAAGTTAAAAGAAAGGAAAGTAGCAAAAATAACCATAACTACACTAATATGTTATTAGTTTCAAAATATTTTTAAAAACCATGTAAATTATAATAGCAATAACCTAAAATGTGAGGGGAGGAGAAATAAAAGTGTAAAGTTTACAAATTCTATTTAAGTTATCAGTTTAAAATAGACTGTTATAAGTTTAAGATATTTTATGTATGACTCATGGTAGCTACAAGGAAAATCCTGTAGCAATTACACTAAAGAATACAAATAAGGAAGTCAAAGCACAAAAAAAGACAAGAAACAGGATAAGAAACAAGCAACAATGGATCTATAAAAAAAAATCAGAAGTCAATTAACAAAATGGCAATAGTAAATCTTTACATATCAATAATTACTTTGAATCTAAGTGGCTTAAACTCTCCAATTAAAAAACATAGAATGACTGAATGGGTAAAAAAAACCAAGATCCAACAATATACTGTCTACATGAGACTCACTTTAACCTTAAAGACGCACATAGACTGAGAGTGAAGGCATAAAAAAAAGACATTTCAAGCAAATGATAACCAAAAATGCAGGGTAGCTATACCTAAATTAGACAAAACAGACCTTAAACTAAAAATGGTAAAAAGAGACAAGAAGGTCATTATATAATGATAAAGGGGTCAATACTTCAAGAAGATATAACAACCACAAATATCTATACACCCAACATTGGGGCACATAAATGTATAAAGCACAAACTAATCAAGCTAAAAAGAAAAATAAATAGTAATACGATAATAGTTGGGGACTTTAATACCACAATCTCAACAATGGATAGATCATTCAGACAGAGAATCAATATGGAAGCAGCAGATTTGAACGACACTATAGACCTAATGAACCTAACAGACATATACAGAACATTGTATCCCAAAACAGCAGAATACACATTCTTTTCAAGTGCACATGAAACATTATCTAGGATAGACCATATGTTAAGCTGCAAAATATGTGTAAAAATTGAAGAAGATTGAAATCATACCAAGAATCCTCTTTGACCACAATGGAGTGAAACTAGAAATCAATTAGAAGAGGAAAATTGGAAAAGTCATGAATGCATAGAAATTAAACAATACTCTCCTGAACAACAGATGGATTAAAAGAGAGATTAAAAGAGAAATAAAAATGTTTCTCGAGACAAACTGAAATGGAAATATGACATACCAGAAATTGTTGGATGCAGCAAGAGCAGTGGTAAGAGGGAAGTTTGTAGCGATAAACACCTATATTAAGAAGCAAGAAAGGTCCCAAATAAACAACCTAGTTCTAGCCTTAAGGAGCTAGAAAAATAAGAACAAACTGATCCCAAAGACAGTAGAAGTCAGAAAATAACAAAGATTGGAGGAGTAGTAAATGAAATAGAAAACAGAAAAGCAATGGAAAAGATTAACCAAACTAAGAGTTGGTTCTTTGAAAAGATAAACAAAATTGACAAAACTTGTGTTGCACCAACCAAGGAAAAAAGAGAAAGGACACAATAAACAAAATAATAAATGAAAAAGGAGATATTACAACTGATACCACAGAAATTCAAAGGATCATAGGAAGCTACTATGAATAACTATACAGCAACAAACTGGACAACCTAGAAGAAATGGAAAAATTCTTAGAAGCATACAAGTTACCAGGACAGAATCAGGAATAAAAGAACATCTGAATAGAACAATTACTAGTAAGGAGATTTTATCAGAATTCAAAAATGTCCCAACGAAGAAAAGCCCAGGACCAGATGGCTTCACTGTGAATGTTATCAAACATTTAAAGAAGAATTAACACCAATCTTTCTCAAGCTCTTCCAAAGAATTGAAGAGTAGGGAACACTCCCAAACTCATTTCACAAGGCCGTGATTATCCTGATACCAAAACCAGAAAAGGACACTTCTTGAAAAGAAAACAACAGGTCAATATCCCTGATGAATATGGATGCAAAATTTCTCTATAAAATACCATCAAACCAAATTCATAGTACACTAAAAGAATCATTCACCATGATCAAGTGCAATTTATCCCTAGGATGCAAGGATGGTTCAATATATGTAAATCAATCAATGTGGTATTCTACATTAATAGAATGAAGGAAAAGAATCATATGATCATCTCTATAGACACAGAAAAAGCATTTGCAAAATTCAACATTTGTTCATGATTAAAACTAACTCTTAAAAAATTAGACATAGAAGGAACATAACAAAGTAAAGGCCACATATGACAAACCCAAAGCTAATGTATACTCAATGGTAAAAGGTTGAAAGCTTTTCCTCTAAAATCAGGAAAAAGACAGGATATCCACTCTCACCACTCCTGTTAAACATAGTACTGGAAGTTCTAGCCAGAGCAATCAGGCAAGAAAAAGAAATAAAATGTATCAGAATTGGAAAGGAAGAAGTAAAATTGTCTCTATTTGCAGATGACATGATTTTCTATACAGAAAATCTTAAAGACTCAACCAAAAGACTGTTGGATTTAATCAATGAATTTAGTAACATTACAGGATACAAAATTAATATACAAAAATCAGTAGCATTTCTACACACTGACAACAAATTATCTGAAAAAAATAAAGAAATTGATCCAATTTACAATAGCATCAAAAACAATAAAATACTTAGGAATAAATTTAACTAAGGAGGCAAAAGATCTCTACTCTGAAAACTCCAAGACAGTGATTAAAGAAATGAAGGAAGCATAAATAGATGGAAAGATATCTTGTTTTCATGATGTGGAAGAATTAATATTGTTAAAATGTCAATACAACCAAAAGCCACCTATAGATTGATTGCAATCTCTATCAAGATTCAAACGGTATTTTTTACAGAAGTAGAAAAAACACTCCTAAAATTTATATGGAACCACAAAAGACCATGAATAGTCAAAGAAATCCTGAGAAAGAGGAGCAAAGTGGGAGGAATTGCAAGCTATACTATAAGGCTATCAAGTCATCAAAACAGTATGGTACTGACATAAAAACAGACAAAAAGACCAATGGAACAGATCTGAGAGCCCAGAAATAAACCTAAGTATATATGGTCAACTTGTATTTGACAAGGGAGCCAAGAATACTCAATGGAGGAAAGATACTCTCTTTAATAAGTAGTGCTAGAATAACTGTATATTCACATGTAAAAAATAAAACTGGAGCAATAATTTATACTGCTCACAAAAATTAACTCAAATGGATTAGAGAGTTAAATGTAAGACATGAAACTCCTAGATGAAAACAGGAATGAAGCTCCTTGACATGGGTCTTGGTAATGATTTTTTGGATATGACACCAAAAGCCCAAGCAACAAAATAAAAAATAAACAAGTGGGACTACATCAAACTAAAAACCTTCTGCACATGAAAAGAAAGTTAACAAAATGAAAAAAATTTTGCAAACCATATATCTGATAAGAGCTTAATATCCAAAATATGTGAAGAACTCATACAACTCAATAGCAAAAAGACAAATAACCCAATTAAAAAATGGGCAAAGGACTAAAACAGACATTTCTCTATTGAAAATATGTGAAAAGCCAACAGGTACATGAAAAGATGCTCAACATCACTTGTCATTAGGAAAATGCAAATTACAACCACAATGAGATATTGCCTTCTGTCTATTAGAATGACTATCACCAAAAGCATAAGAGATTAATGATGGCATGGATGTAGAGGAAAGGGAACCCTTGTGCACTGTTGGTGGAATTCTAAGTAGGTACAGCCACTATGTAAAACAGTATGGAGGATACTCAAAAAATTAAAAATAGAACTACCATATTATCCAGCAATTCCACTTCTAGGAATACATCCAAAGGAAATGAAAACACTAACTCAAAAAGATATCTGCACCCCCATGTTTATAGCAGCATTATTTACAACAGCCAAGACATAGAAACAACCTAAGTGTCCATCGATGGATAAGTGGATGTACAAGTTGTGGTATAGATATATGCAATGGAATATTATTCAGCCTTGAAAAGAAGGGTATCTTGCTATTTGTGACAACATGGATGGACCTTGAAGGCATTATGATAAGTGACGTAAGTCAGACAGAGAAAGACAAATACTATATGATTGCACATATATGTGGAATCTAAAAAAAAACCACACAAACTCATAGAAAAAGAGATCAGACTTGTGGTTACCAGAGACATATGGTGGGGGAAGGGGAATTGGAGAAAGGTGGTCAAAAGGTGCAAGCTTCCAGTTATAAGATAAATAAGTACTAGGGATTTTATGTATAACATGATGACTATTGCTAACACTGCTGTATGATGTATAGAAAAGTGAACAGAGTAAATCCTGAGAGTTCTCATCACAAGGAAAATTTTTTTTCTTTCTTTTTTTCTTTTTATTTTATCTATATGAGAAAATGGATGTTAACTGAACCTACTGTGGTAATCATTTCACAATATATGTAAATCAAACCATCATGCTGTATGCCTTAAACTTATACAGTGATGTATGTCAATTATTTCTCAATAAAACTTGAAAACTATATATTTAAGAAAAAAAAGAATGTTATTGGATAAAGCTTCCATTCTGGAACCTGAATAGACTGTTTATTTGAAATGGCTGCTTTGGGATGTATTGAATATTT